CACTCACACACACACTACTCTCTCTCTCTCTCTCTCTCTCTCTCTCTCTCTGTGCTGCTACTTCAGCTTCTAGTTCTGTGAGACTAACTTGTTCCATGAACTTTAAACTATTTTTTTTAAAGCAAGGAGGAAAAAAAAATCCAATTTTGAATGTGACTAAAAATGAAAAATATTTTGGATAATGAGGTTTTTGGTGCAATAGAGAGGTGTGTTGTTAGAAGGCATAGATGGGACATCTCTTACACCCTGTTCAAAATATTATCAAAGCCCTGGTTTTCAAACTGACCTGTACAGCAGTAACCATCTCAAATCTTAAGTGACCCTTGTGAAAATTAACAACATAGAATTGTTTCTAGCTTACAAAATCACTGCCAGACAAGATAAGACTGATAAATTGATCTGTCCCATTGGAAAAATCTGTTTGACTATAATAGTAGAGCTTGATGTTGAAACACATTTATCCTCCTGGAATCTTGTTTGCTCAACTTATGTTAGAAAATAGATGTGTACAAAATGTAAAAGTTTGAGGGGAGTGGGGGAAATGGGAAGCTAAAAATACTCTTATCTGACTGAGACAACTTGTTTTGAGCAAAGGGAATATTTGGTAAGGAAGAGTCAATTCAAGACCTAAGAATCAAAAGCTACAATGTCGTATTTCCCCCAGCATTATTTACACTAATGGAGTCAGTGTTGTTGTTTTTAAATGTTAATTTGATTTTATTTTTAACTTCTTTTAAGACCTCAAATATAGTGTGAGTAAAGTAGGCAGGATTTTTCACTGTAGCTGGTCAAATTACTTAATGCAAAGTAGAAATTTAAAATACAATTTGTTCTATATGTATGAAGGTGGCTCTGCCTTCAGTCATAAAAACAATGAAAAATGTTACTAATATTTTGCAGTTAAAACTAATTTGTTCACTTATTAAAGCAACACTTAGTATAGTAACTCCTCACTTAACGTTGTAGTTATGTTCCTGAAAAATGCGACTTTAAGTGAAACGATGTTAAATGAATCCAATTTCCCATAAGAATTAATGCAAATGGGGAGGGGTTAGGTTCCAGGTCAGCTTCCCCTACTCTGCAAGCACCAGGAGCAGGGGACTCAACCCTCAGCCCGCCCACTCCACTCCTTCCTCCAAGCCACCACCCTTGACCTGCCTTTTCTCCCTCCCCACCTCCTCCCCCTTTACTTCGAACGCTGCATCCTCTCCCCTCCCTTCTAAATGCCGCAAGCCAGCTGATTGCCAGGTTCTGGAGGCAGGGGAGGCAAGCCGAGTCCTCGCTCCCCCTCCCTCCTGCCGGGGTAATCAGCTGGCTTGCGGCTTTCGGGAGGGAGGAGGGAGCCTGCGCACCAAGTCCTCGCTCCTTCCACCTTGCCTCCAAAATGCCACAAGCCAGCTGATTGCTGTGGGCAGGAGGCGGGGGGGGAGGAGGGGGGAAGGCGCAGGGTCTGCCGGCAGGCAGGAGGTGCCATGGGGGGGGTGCGTAGGGAGGCTGCCAGCTGTGGAGAAAGCAGGTAGCCAAACAACGTAAGAGTGGAGCGTTGCACAACTTTAAATGAGTATGTTCCCTAATTGATCAGCAACGTAACAACAAAACAACATTAAGCGGGATGACTTTTAAGTGAGGAGTTACTGTACTGCTATAGTTAAATGTTACACCACTTTCTTCCTTGATCCTTGTTTTCAAGGATTTATAAATAAGATAACCTGAAGCTTGGTTTAAGTGACGTGTAAGTGTTTGCTTCTGTTTTTTAAACAAATATACTGTGCAGGAAAAGGGGGAGAATTATTCACCTTCTGGAAACTCCAAGAGTTCAGAAGTGAGCTCCATATTTTCCTTTCCAAGAAACCAGTCTTGAACTAAAATTTCAGTTCAAGCTATTACAACCAAGGTTTAGTTCTAGTTTGATCTAGGTCTGCCTGAGTGAACCAATACTATGTTGCTGTCAAAAGGTTGTGCGTTTTAGAAACCAAACATACTAACAATGGCCGGCTGTTGCTATAACTAGACATATTTGCGTTATGCTCTGCTCACTTTTTCTAAGGCAAATTGGAGGCCTAGTCTTGCTCCCCTGGATATCAAGGTCAAAACTCAATGACCTCTGTGGGAGCAGGATCTGGTCCTAATCATTCATGTTATCAGGCAATCTTGATACTCAGTCATGATACAGGTGGAAGTACCACTGAAGAACCAACTCTTTGTAATGTTAAGATTGTGGATGGAGTTTGAAAATGTGACTCTGTGACTTGTAGACAGACATGTAACTGCTCTGAAGGAAATATTTGAAATTGATCATCTGGACAGGAACTGTAGAAGGAGCTCTGTTAAGTGCTAACAATTTCTTGCCATTCACTTTTTCAAAACTATACTAGCATATCTGCATTTAATCTGGCAAATGATTTAGATTTAAAATCTAAATTCATGTGGAGCCTAAATATGCCCTACACTAGCTGAAACACAGTTTTTAAACATGTTTGATACCCACTTTATGGGTGGTGATAAAAGAACATTTAGAATTCAGGCTGACACTTCATTTCACACTTGTTTTCTGAGGAGGGGGAGACAGACGAACATGAGCTTAGGACCTCGGGTGTTCACTTTAACTTTTTAATTTGCCAAGTGTGTGGTTGACTTGTATCTCAAGCTAATCTTTGTTGTATTTTGTACTTCATATACACTGTCTTTGCAAGATCTGAATTTTAAGGTCTTGATCTAGATTTTTTTGGAAAAAAAACATTGCCTGTGCTCACTCTTGTTTAATGTCATAAACTGCGTGGTGCAAAGTTGTATTGCTTTGCTATGAATGTTTACAATCTCATAAGCAGCACTGTCTCGTTTTGAGGCAATTTGTTAACAATTTCACAGTTTATCATTTTTTAAAAAGTTCTTTGTGAACTTAAGACTTAGGGTTGGATTTTCAAAAGTACTTAAGGGAGTTTTTGACAAATCTGCCTTAAATCTTAATTTTGTTGTCTCTGGCTTGCAATACAGTCTTCTGTCACAGTATTGTAAAAGAAGTGGCTTGGCAAGGAGCAGCCAGACCACATCTTGCTGCAGTAAAGCCATTAAACTGTTGTAACCAAATGTACATTTTTTTCCCCGCAGGCTATCTGCATTCAGCAGGCAAGCCTCTCTTTGTGGATCTTGAATTAATATTTTAATGTGAACATGGCTTCCCGCACAAGGTTACGTTCATCATTGCCTGCTTATTTTTTCACTATCAAATACGTTGGGATTTTTGCAGTTTGCACGCACAAAATGTCATTGCCTTGTACATGTACAAAAATAACATCAATACTAAGGGCCTGATGCTGTGAACACTTACAGGCTTAATTTTAAGTAGGTGAATACTCCCATTGAAAGTAATGGGACTGTTCACCTGTTTAAAGTTAAACAGCTGTGTATATGTGTGCAAGATGAAGGCCCATATTAATACTCCAACACCTTCGAGATCAAAAATGCATCTGCTCCTAATGTGAGAGTTTGAATTGCAGCAAAGTATTGTAGTTGTCTAACGAGACTTCATTTTCCATTCCATTTTCTGAATGTTAGTGGTATTATCTTAAAATCATCATGCTCTAGAAAGCAATAATTTGTAACAAAAAAAAGTAATGCGTGTGTGTGTGTTAACCATATTGTCACTGGCTTACATTTTCTCAAAGGTAACTTGTTAAAATGTAGAGCCGTTGTGGTAGATACAGAGGGAGGAAATACTAGCACACTAAATTAATTTTGTTACTGAGATCTGATTTATTGGACAATGTGTGAATATCATAAGTGCATATGTGACAGTTTATAGAATATAGCTTGTGTCCAAATTCAAAAGGAGGAGGAGGGGGAAAACAGGTCTTAAAATAAGTGAGTTACTTCACTATTTGCTTGAAAGTGAGCGTTTGGCATGTGGAGTTATGCAGATTTCTAGTAGATGCTAGTTTTTGTTTAATCATTAACAACTTGAATGGAGAGCCAAACAATTTCTCGTCCCTGCACCCTCCCTTACAGCTTGCCCAAAATGATCCTTTTAAATACAGGAGGCTAGACTGACTACTTGAAATACAAATGTATTCTGGAGAATAGGTCAGAATAAATAATTAAGAGTTCACTTTTAAATAACTGTCTTAACATGGCTTGAAAGCTTATGGGAAAGGCAGCATGGTACTAATAAGGAAAGAATGAAGCAATGTATGTTTTATTGTGTAGAACTAACATATTTGGTAATAAAAAAGTTCTTTCCTAACTCTTGAATGTCTTCATTTAAATAGCTGACAGTTTTCTGGTTTAATACATGCCATGTCATAAACAAACTAGGGAAATACAACCTAGATGGATCTACTGTAAGGTGGGTGCATAACTGGTTGGAAAATCGTTCCCAAAGCGTAGTTATCAGTGGTTCAGTCATAATGAAGGTCATAATGAGTGAGGTCCTGCAGAGATCGGTTCTGGGTCTGGTTCAGTACAATATCTTCATCAGTGGGTTAGATAATGGCATAGAGAGGACACTTATAAAGTTTGCGGATGATACCAAGCTGGGAGGGGTTGCAAGTGCTTTGGAGGATAGGATTAAAATTCAAAATGATCTGGACAAACTGGAGAAATGGTCTGAAGTAAATAGGATGAAATTCAATAAGGACAAATGCAAAGTACTCAATTTAGGAAGGAACAATCAGCTGCACACATACAAAATGGGAAATGTCTGCCTAGAAAGGAGTACTGCGGAAAGGGATCTGGGGGTCATAGTGGATCACAAGCTAAATGAGTCAACTGTGTAATGCTGTTGCAAAAAAAGCAAGCATCATTCTGGGATGTATTAGCAGGAGTATTGTAAGCAAGACATGAGAAGTAATTCTTCCACTCTACTCCATGCTGATTAGGCCTCAACTGGAGTATTGTGTCCAGTTCTGGGTGCCACATTTCAGGAAAGATGTGAACAAATTGGAGAAAGTCCAGAGAAGAGCAACACAAATTATTAAAGGTCTAGAAAACGACCTATGAGGGAAGATTGAAAACATGGGTTTGTTTAGTCTGGAGAAGAGAAGACTGAGAGGGGACATAACAGTTTTCAAGTACATAAAAGGTTGTTACAAGGAGGAGGGAGAAAAATTGTTCTTAACCTCTGAGGATAGGACTGGAAGCAATGGACTTAAATTGCAGCAATGGCGGTTTAGGTTGGACATTAGGAAAAACTTCCTGTCAGAGTGGTTAAGCACTGGAATAAATTGCCCAGGGAGGTTATGGAATCTCCATCATTGGGGATTTTTAAGAGCAGGTTAGACAAACATCTGTCAGGGATGGTCTAGATAATACTTAGTCCTCCCTTGATTGCAGGGGACTGGACTAGATAACCTCTCAAGCTCCCTTCCTGTTCTATGATTCTATGTTGTGGTGTATAGGATTCCATTACGAGGAGATTTTTTCAGTAATGCAGACCTGCAGTCAAACATTTTTTAGTCATCTTTTACACCAGAATTGAAGTATTGCTACATATGTGGTAGGGATAAGGTGGGGGAGGTGATATCTTTTATTGGATCAATTTCTGTTCATGAGAGAGAGACGCTTTCGAGCTTACACAGAGCTTATGCAGACCTGAAGAAGAGCTCCAGGCCCGTCGAAAGAAATTCCGGGTGCCCGGGCCAGGGAGTCCCAAGGGGGGGAACAGGGCCTGGGGCAGAAGTGACAAATCCGTCACTTCTGGGATTGCCCATGCTGGCCCGTGGGGCCCAGAGCGGTCTCACGTGCCTAGGCACCCTGTGGCCTGCCCAGGTGATTTAAAAGGGCCTAGGGCTTCTGGACACTGTTGCTGTGGTGGCGACCGCGGCCCCCTGGACCCTTTTAAATCGCCTGGATCCCTGGACAATTGCCCACTTTGCCCCCCTGTCAGCAAGCCTGAAGAGCTCTCTGTAAGCTTGAAAGCTTCTCTCTCTCACCTACAGAAGTTTGGTCCAATAAAAGATATTACCTCCCCCACCTTGTCTCTTTAATATCCTGGAACCAACACAGCTACAACACCACTGCATACACATGTGGTAATACGATAACTCAAGTTAAAATAGTAGCAAAGACATGGTAATGTGCCTTGTTTATCAGTTTGGGTTAAAGCCTATAAGGGAGTCTGTCTTTGAACTCACGCTGCTACCCCAAATTAAAAGTTGAGTTGCTGTGTCTTCACTGATGTTCTAATATGGTTTCGCTAACCCAAGTTAAGAACACACCGTTGCAGTGAAGACTTACCCTAGAACTAAGATTTTAATAGGGGTTATTTTAGCACAGGTTCAAATATGCCTTTTTTTCCAATGTGAAGAGAATGCTGAGGAGTTCACAATCTCTATGCAGGCCAATATGGGAGAAACAAACTCTTCCAATTTGACAAATGGGAACTAAGGCAGTGAAAACTCAAAAGGAAATTGGTGGCAAAGCCAGGAACTGATCATTTCCTCACTACCAATCACCACAAGTCTTTATTTTCTTAATCTTTACACTCACTTTTTCCAGCTTGGGGGGGAAGCTCAGTACCAGCTGCAGGCAAATGGTAGAGGTGTACATCCCTACCTCCTGCCTATGGGCTAGGGATGTACATGTGTTCTGTGCTATGCCTCACTCAGGTGGGCATAATTGTCTTTTCCCTACTTTCTTCAGGTAGGAAGAGAAATGCTGATGACTCTCCTCTAGGACTTCAACTTGCCTGCATGGGCAGGGGAGCATTGAGACAATGAGTGAGTAGCATCACTCGGGAGATGGGACTGTCCTCATCTCTGAGAGACTACAATCTCCACCACACATTCAGTACTCTCTAGAAAGAGGGAGTCAAGAGAGTAGAATTGGTGCAGTGGCAGCCTGGGCCTGTGACTATAGTAAGCAGCAGCTGCATCACTCACAAGAGCGGAGTGACCTTTCAGGGCCTTGAACTGAGCACCACGTCTAATCAAAGAGTCTGGCAGTTCCAGGATTGAAATGCTAGAGTTTCTAGCACCCAGTTGCTCCTAGAATGTTGCAGTCTGGTTGTGGCATTGACTCCTCTGACAGTGGAAGTTTACAGAGCGATCTGGGGGGTGGACCCCGTAGCCTCAGCGGGTGGGGTTCGCCGTGCAGGCTGAGGAGTCGCGTTGGCTCTTCCTGTGGTTGGTGCTCGTAGGATGGCCTGAGGGCCGGCGTCGTTTCCGCTGGAGGCAGGATTTCGGGCGGCCATGCGTGGCGGGGCGCTGACCCTTCTTGGGATGGGGTCGCGTTGGTTGGGCGTCGGGAGGACACAGACGTCTCAGCTCAGAGAGCTTCCGGGCGACCTGGGAGGATGTGACAGGTCTCCTGCTGGCAGGGGCTCGGTCGACGTTTCCCGCTGCGGGAGGCGTCGTCTTGATGGTGGGGCCCTGGTCCACCAGTTCGGGGACTGGAGTGGGGTTTAGGGTAGCGGCTGGAGGGGGTGCCCTG